TCTCTGCAAGAATAGGATAGTTCTATTCAGAGATGGCTGAAGCCACGAGTTATCATTTCGTCCTTGACGATAGAGTACAAACCCTACATGTGGTGAATCGACAAGCTTCAATCGACATGATACTCTTGCCATGAACGTAGATTTCCCACACTGCTATAGCCTTGAGAATGCTCTCAACCGAATACAAATGCCCTAGAATCCCGCGTATAACGAACCCTTGATGGCGGAGAAAAGTTCCGCGTATAACGAACCTCCCGCATAGCGAACCCCGCGGATAACGGACCTTCCGTATAACGAACCTTCCGTATGAGGAACCTTCCGTACAAAAAACTTTCCGTGTATTGAACCTCCCGTATAACGTATAGAGTGTATGAGAGCGGTGAAGCTCAGCTATATGAGCACCCTGGCGGATTTATCCTGGACTGTGCTCGAGAAAACGACCACTGAGTTTCGATATCTAGATTGCTGAGGCTGGAAATCGACGATCGTTCATCATAAGCGAGGTTCTTCATGCGGAGGGCTCGTTATACGCGAGGTCCGTTATACGGGAGGTTCCTTATACGCGGGGTCCCTTATACGGGAGGTTCCCTATTCGCGAGGTTCATATACGGAAGGTTCGTTATACCCGGAACTTTAGGTATGACTGCGATTGTGGAATGAATAGCGCGAGAGCCGGGGGAGTGATCTTTCCATGTCCTCTCTGGTCCCTGAGCGGGTCCGCGAAGTCGAATAAGTTCACCGTCAATTTTGCGGAGCACGACGACTAAGCGCGGAGCTCATGCGGCACACAGGATAGTAAGGGACCGGTCGCTAAGCGATCGAAATGAATCCAAAATACTGAGAATAGAAATCAACGATGGATTGGCAACGGAAACGTCCAGATAGAGTCGGTTCGAATTCGTCCGAGTCGACGTCTCCTGTTTACTCGTAGCCCCAGCGACCGACACGATGGTTACGGTGGAATATTCGCGGTTCCTGATGCGATGATTGATGAGGAGGTCCCCTGTGCCCAGCTCTTGTCTGCAGGTTCCTTTGCCGAATACATTTGCTTCGGTTGCGAGCAGGCCTACGGTCAGCCTCCCGAGCATCGCGATCGCGTTGCCGGCCCGAAATCGCCGACCGGAACTCTGACAAGGCCATGGCCCAGCGTCAATCTTTCGCGTTGTTCCCACCCGTTCGAGTCTTTCCTCTGTCACGGACGGAGCTGCCTGTCGCTCCATTCGCTCGCAGGAAGCACGCACCTCGCCCACTCAGTACACCATGCAATCAGCACATAACATTCACTGGGAGATCGAGTCGGGAATGTGTAACAGGGATCCATTTAGAAATGTTCAATATCGCGGATAATCCGCCTCTTTTGTCCAGGACAAGCAGTCCTATTTATGATGTAACCAGGAACCTCGATATAATCACTGGGGTTCGCACGCGCGTAAGTGACGTCCATCGGCGCAGAGCCGGCCTCTCCAAAATTTCGCTCCAGGTGGTTCGCCATCAGCCGGTCGAGGGCCGAGAGGTGTCGGAGACTTTGTGGAAGCCACAGTGGCGGAGAAAGGGGGAGCTGATCGATGATCGATCAATACAATTATCACGATCACCCAGGCAGCCTCAGCGCTCCTCAGGAAGTTCAGTGTCCGGGTTCAAATGCCGAGTGTTCATCAAGATTTCGGTGACGATCAGAGGCTCGAACCCTTCATCGTTATCATTCCATCATCTCCCGGAGGTCGTCCATCGATCTGGAAATCTCCGAGATACATTTCGTTATCGCGCGACGCACCCCACATGATATCAGCAAGTTCAAGTCTTGTGTCTTCATTTCTCCCGCGGTTCCGAACCGCAACTGCGGTGCGTTCGTCGCATCCTCAACTTTTCTTGCCCATCACGAAGCCTCGTTGCTCCGATCTCCTACAGGAACAGAATCGAGGACCAAGATCGCACCGGGATGTGAAAGCGACACAGAGCTACGATGAAACTGTGTGTCTTCCCGTAGTAGACGAGGATATGAATTCAGAAAACCATGGTCCTGCCCGTTGGAGTACCCCGGTCTGGAAACGGCACTAATCGATCTCCCGATGACTGCCCGAGTACCGTGAGCTTTGGCGCTCCTGACACCCTTGTCAAGTACGTTCTCAATTATGACGGACTGCGATTTTGGGGAAAGCAGTTCGTCTAGCGTGGTCTGGATCCTCTCGTAGAGCTCATGTCTCTTGATTTTTTCATTTTTCGTCGGGGCAATCCGCAAAGGGGTGACCCTATCATTCTCAAAAGGAGCTGCGATTGCGAAAAGGGGAAGGGGACTGAGCGGAAGGTCAGAGGAAGAGGCAGAATGATTGTTTCGAGTCCGCCCAATTTCCTCGTTAGAATCAACATCCGCCCCGCCCGACCACAGCAAACAGGCTCGACAACCCTCCAGGGCTTACGTGCCTCCCCTGCCGCGCGACTTGGGCCTGTTGAAAACGCCTGCAGCCGAGAAGAACTCATGGCCTGAGCCTTCAGGAACGATGCGCCATTGTTCTCCGATATGTGGTCGGTGAATAAGAGGACTCGGAGGAATGAGAGGCGCCGGAAGGTCATGTACCGAGGTGCGGCATGGATTGAGGGTTATACAACCCCTGACCTGAAGCTTTCGGGGACACCCCGCCATTCATTTTGAGACAAGGGGGAATTCCGTCGAACTCACTGTCATCGTTGCTCGGGCTGATCTGATAGAAAATGGAGGCGTTGAGCATGTGTGTGTGTGATGCCATGAATACTTGCACGTGATCCCACATCGCTCCTCCACGGCCTCCTCTGGCCGAAACAAAGAAACGTAATCTTCCGGAACTCGAGCCGTGATTCCGGGATCATTCTTCTCTCACGGGGGGGGCTGGGGAATGGGGTCAAACAAGGCGAGACTCGACATTTTCATTCCGTATTCCACTTGTATTTCACAAAGAAGAGAGGGCAGATCTCAGCAAGGTTATTGGGGACAGATCTCGAGGAATCTCAGCGTTCAGTGCTCTTCTGGTTTACTCTCTGTTTGCCTCCGTTCGTCGTTTGAATCGTTTTGAGTGATTTTCGGAAATGAACCAGTGGATGCGACATGGAATCGGCGGTATTCTATGAGCCACGAGTTCGTGTCCGATAGGCAGTGGCGTACGGTGGGGGCAGATTTTCTCGCCCTGCTCCTACAAGAGAACTCGATGGTTCCCGTCCATCGAGCTCTATCCAATCCGGACAATGATGGTTCGCAAAATCGGATTCACCTATTATATATTCACCTAAGCAGCCTAGGCGGCTGAGTCTCTGACTCTGACTCTGACTAACTGGTCGAGCTCACGAGTCGAGACTCGAGACTTAGCTTCAGCTCAAAATGAGATCTTTCTGATGTCACGTCGTTCTTCAGTCGGTGAGACACAGTCTGTCTGAATGATACGGAAGACTGTCTTTAGAGGTGATGAGGTAATGGATAAAGGGGTGATTCGTTCTACCTGATGTGATGATCTCTTTCTCCGTCCGCCTCCTCTCGGGGGAGATGCCGGAGTCTCTCGGATGCTAGCAAGCCGAACTAGTGCGGTAGGAGGTATCACGAAATCGGTCGAATATGAGAATCGGAGAAAAATGCATGAAATTGAAGACCCGAAGCTCCAGAAGGAATATGCCGGAGTCGCCCTAGTCATCCACAAGATCATACCTGGCATGATGAGGTTGTTCCTGGCTGAATTGTCGTCCAGAGCCATGTCTGCCACTGGTTGAAGAAATATTCTCAGGAGGCAGTCGGAAAATTAAAGAAATATAATTAACACTCGACTAGGGATAGCAATGAGCGGCTCACGTTCTCGTTTGATGATCCTGAAGACGATCTCATTCCGATCGATGGTCCGATGGGATCCTGGGGCGTCATTCTCCACACTTCGAGCTCCAAGATTAGGTGAGGCCCCCATTTTCGCTCTTGTTCTTCCTCCTTCTACTCTGCCGGAGTAACCGGTGATCGGAATTGAGGCTCACTTTTGGTGATGCTCGACCAAGACATTCCTCGATCAGTCGAGCTTCGCACAGAAGCTTGTGAATTGCGGGGCGAGACGTGCTCCGCCGAAATCCGTCCTCGACGCGGAGCCGGAAGACTCAGATATAGGTCCACGCCGCGCCACGGACAATAACAGTTTCTCCGCAGCCGCTAAGAATCTGGGCGTCGTTGGAAAATTCGTCATTCTCGTAGATACGTGGATGCCAGAATTTCCTCTGTGAGGCTGTGCTGTCGGGGACAGCCCTCGATTCCCCGAGTACCCTGTCCCAGAATATTTAGTGTTCATGCGGCTGAGCTCTTAGACTGACCAATAATGCTTTGGAATGACTCGATTTGCACACCAAGATCTAAGGAAAAAGAGCAAGTTCCTCTCGAATTCAAATCCTAAAAGGTGTTCCTGGGTGGTCATCAAGGTGGGCAAACGGATTCTCCAATTTTTGGGGATTTCACTCACTATATTTCGGACGAAGAAGATCCGTGGGCTCTCTCGATTCCCGGGTGAGTGGTGAGAAAGCGGGATTGAGAGAGCTGTGCGGCTGATTCGGATGCCCCCGACCTCGCGTCGAGAAGAATCATCAGGGCGGTTGACACAGAAGGACGAAGAGAACCATTAATCATTAGTCGTAAATCCGACTAGAGGGGTGAATCATAGAGGCAGGAATACTGGGCGTTTTTATTCGCATTCTATCCGCTTCAATCTGTCTGGGTATTTCGAGGTTTCCTGATCCTATGCTCGCTCCGAAGCTCCCATTTGAGTCCGCGATCCCAATCGCATAACAGGCGGTACCGATGTTCAGCAATGAACCTAGGAGCATCTTCTATCTCTCCATTTGACCGCCCTGGTCGCGATTGGCAATCTTTGTTCCCCCTCTTACTCGACCTAGAATAAGGGTGCGCTTCTCTTACAGGTATGAGTATACCGATCGAATGTTGGGCTCTGATACTCATTCAGAGCTCCATGAGAGGCAAAACAAAAATCAAAAAACGGTCTTCTCGCTTGAATAAGTTAAGAATGTGCTTCCACACTCCCTGCTTTATTGATAAAGGAGTATTTCAACGGTTCCCGTAGCGCGAACTTTCACCTTTGAGCGCTGGGGGTTCGTCCCGAATATCCAATTTCAATGATTCTAAGTCGAAAAAGGAAACGCTTTCCCGAGTAATGGACTAGAGGAGTCTCGCTTCACCTAAACTAAAGGGCCAGGTTCTCAAGAGGTGCAGAGCAAGGCTACATGAACGATCCCAGATATTCGAGTGTGGCTCCACCACTCTCGCACACAAAAAGGCGATCAAATCTTGCTCCAGCTCTGGAGTCTCATGAGCTCCGGAGTTTCGCTCAGTTTGGCCGGAGATTCGAACTCTTTCAAGCATGTTTCTGAACCTCCTTGACAATGTTCTGCACGACTTCCGTCGTGGTTGCTTGACCGCCGAGATCGGGCGTGTGCAGCTTGTCGACGTTTATGGTTTTGTCGATAGCCCGAGCAATGACCTGCGCATGATCTGTCAGACCCAGATGATAGAGCAAATCGACTCCTGCATTCATCATGGCGATTGGGTTGGCGATGTTCTTTCCTGCGATCGATTTGCCCGTGTTCCTCGTCCCGGTTTCGAAAACTGCATAATCTTTGCCGTAATTCCGTCCAGACGCGATTCCCGGCCCGCCGGTGATTCCGCACGCCAAGTTTGTGAGAATGTTCCCGTACAAATTCGGGAGGAGCAAAACATCGAATTGGTTGGGGTTGGCCACGAGTTGCATGGAACAGTTGTCAATGATGATGTTGTCGAATTCCAGCTCCGGATACTCCTTGGCCATCTCCGTGCAACGGCTCAGGAACAAACCGTCCGACAGTTTCCTGAAGTCGACAGAGGGAATGAAAAAAAAGATCAATCGCAACAATACGGGAGCCTGACGAGGAGAGGCAATCCTTCGGAAGACGCTCGCTTCCTGTGGTCATAAGAGGAGGGATGGTGCTTTGGAACGAGCGACGGGAGATGCGGAAAAAAGAGTCGGAGGAAAACTAACATGATGTTGGCCTTGTGAACACAGGTGACCTTCTTACGACCGTTGTTTTTCGCCCACTCGAAGGCGTAACGAGCGATTTCGTCACTTCTCGTCTTGGTGATCACTTTGAGAGATTCCACCACCCCCTTGATCGATGTATGCTCCTCGCTCGAATACTCTCCCTCTAGAATTGAGAATCAGAAGAATTTTTCCGAAAACTGATCTTAGCTGCTTCCCCCGGGCGCATTCCTGATTCGTTATTCATCGACAAGCGTCCAATCGAAGGCTTTCCTACCTGTATTCTGACGGATCAGAACGATATCGATGTCCTGGTGTCGAGTTTCGATGCCAGGTTGAGAGGTGACGTGCACAATGTTAGCGAAGAGGCCCAACCGGAGACGCAGCTCGACGTTCCTGGATTTGCAATTCGGATCATTGTGGCGGGTTTCGATGTTGCCTTTTATAGCGACTCCGTTCCGTTTCACCGCCGTGATAGCTTGTTCCAGGAGATCCACGTCGTCTCTTGATGAGTCTAAGTGCACTTCCTCAAAATCAACGGGAACTCCGCCGTATCTGGAAAGGTATAGTATTTCTATCACGGAACGCCATCGCCGCATTCGGTTCTTTCGGGAATGAGAGACATCGTTCAGGATTCAAGTGCCAGCATGACCGACTCCTCGAGAACAGGTGTCCGAGTCTGTTATGTCAGGGACTCTTACCGGAAGACTTCTTTGACGTATCCGATCAGTTCGGGCCCGATTCCGTCGCCTGGCAGAGCGGTGACCATGTAACGGCCTCCGTATTTGCTCTTGTCGGTCCTCGTTCCGGATACATGCTATAAGAAGGAAGATTCCGTTATTGGGAGCCTTGTCTCTAGCTGCTCAAGGTAGACTACATGCTGTAAGATCGAGAAGGTGAGAGGGTGGCCGATAGCCGAAAAAGTGTGCTCGGAATTGTTCGCATATTCCCATGACCAAGTCAGAGAACCCGAGGAAGACCATCATCTCCCCGGGTTCACGTCCGAAAACAAATCTCGTCCGAAAGAGGATGCAAGGGTGCAATACATCGATGTTTCCAAGCATATGTGCTTCCCGAACCGTCGCGGGAGAGAGTGTCGCAAACAGAGATAGGTTAAAAGTTAATTTCATTGAAAAGCTCTTACGTAGACATTGTCATTGTATCTGTGAACGATCTGCAATGAATCGGTGTTAGAGTTAGCGCTCTCCAGCCATCAAATCAAACGTCGGAGAATAGTTCCGCGCGGACCGGCTGAATGGGAGAAAATATCGAACGCGTTGTTATGATTGAAATGTAGGCCCACAGCTCAAGTCGTGCAGAACCCGCTGGAGATGGGACTGTTATCGATGCATTCTTGGCACTGCAAACGAGTATCGCACTCGGCGGAGAGTCGACCCGCAGATCCTTCGAACTTTCGTCGAAGTTTCGGAGCGGGAGACGAGCTGCTACGCGCTGACCCCGTCGTGTCCTCTACTCACCGTACGATTGGGGATGATCTGGGACGCGGCAAAAGCTCGCTTGGCCAACAAGGCGGGCTTCAGTATCTGTTTCGAGAGAGACATGCTGCGCTCAGGACGACAATCTCCTTCGTCTCAGATGGCTGAATTATCCCCCGACCACTGTTATTATTGTCTCCGAGCTCGAATACTGAGTGGTTTCGGTTTTGAACCTTGGCGCGCTTTTTCAATAGGTTTTCCGATCCTTCAGGGAAGATCGTGCGAATTTGAGGACGAGATGTTCGCCAGTATGGAGCTCGGGAGCACGAGGGTGCTCCACTCATTGAGCAGCCTCTCCATAGCGTCCTAGGGCTCGAATTCCCTCGCGTAGGGGAATCGCCTGCACCCGACAGTCGGCTCCTCTGAAAGTGATCCATCCTGTTCGAACTAAATCTCATGAGCGCGAATGCCGGAAAAAGGATCTTCCGGCCGAAGCCGATCGAGCTTCAACGCTCGCGAAACGTGCGTCCCGGTATTTTCATCCAGGAGAATCCGACCCCTCAAGGCAAGGGAGGAAGACGGGCATCACTCAAAGACTCAAAGAGTATCAGGGTCCGTTTATCGAGGATATATATTTTATATCGAGAGACCTCGCTCAAGAGTTCACTGGCCAATAACCGGAGTACACGGCGCGTCCTTCGCACAAACACGTCTCGGAAAGTCGGAGCCGGGAGGAATTGGAAATATCTCGCTAGAATGCCGATGGCCTCGCTGGCATAGCTTGATAAGATTCAGACACCATCTCCATGACAAGATTATTCAATAAAGATTTACTTTTTCGTTCGAAACACGTCAAGAGACCTCCGCCGTCGGCCCGAAGTCGATTACCCTGGGATCCGGTCCCGAAAATATCTATCTATATTCCTTGCGATGCCGCAGTCATAAGGATTAGATTATCGAAATCATCAGCGTCATCGGCTTGGTTATCGGTTTTGCCACCAAGCTGACGACCGATGACGTCACGATTCCGAATGGTCACGAGACTGCCGATGTCGGATCGCGGGTGGTATCATACCTCGTGATATCGCGATAAGCGGAATGGAAGATCCTGGGAATCCCCGCGGAAACGTGGTGCAAGAAAGCGATACCCATATCCAGGGATGAGAACATATATTTTCATGTGGGTTCCTACGCGTATCTTTCCATCAGAAACAATGATCCCCACACTGGTCGGTGAGAAACGTAATTTGGACAATGTACAGAATGAGTCTCCCTTCATAGGCGATTCGATGAAGCGCTGCTCTTCCTCCATCTGCGGTCATGGCTTCCACTACGGATCCAGAGTTTTCAAATATATCATTCAGTTATCCTTGTCCTTGTTGAACCTCGAGGTTTTGCTAGATTTACTCTTAGACGACAGACTCCCTCCGAATCGGCGTCCGTCTTTCGGGGGCGCTTCGGTCGTTCGTGACGTCTTCTTGCTCAATGAAGAGGAAGAGGAGGATGACGACGACGATGAGGAAGAAGACGAGCTCGAAGCTAGAACGATAGAGGGCCGAAGAAAATGAATCAGTTAGAAAAGAATACGGAGCACGCGGACCGATTCCGAGACTCGGTCCTTCGCGCATCATAGGATTCGGACATCCACCGAGAATCCACCTCCGGGAGTTCATTCAGGTACACTCCGGAGGTGGTTCTCCCGGCCGTGATCTCCAGACCTCGCGTAGCGAGGCTTTCACGAAAGTTTCCCGTCCCGAGAGAGCAACATTCTCCTGAGAGATGTGAATTTCCCTACCTCCACGTTTAGGCTTCTGTGTGGTCGTCGTGGTCGATCTCGTCTTCGTATTGCTTCTCACGGGAGCTGCTGTGGTCCTCTCCACCCGGGGTCCACCTGGAGGGCGTGGGGTAACAGTTGTACTGACCTGACCACCAGTGGCCGGATTCTTGATGAACGACGGCAGCGTGGGTCGGCTCCTCTGGCCAGGCGCCGGTGTCACCTACATGGGGAAAATATACTCCTCATCGATATCTGGTACAGGTTTTCATAAGGCCTCATCGTGAAAGCTTGTCGAGAGCTAATTGACCCGCAGAATTCTCTTGTTCGTACAGGACGAAGTTTTTCCCTGTGAAATGTAATGGGTAGAGGGCAAAAGGGACGCCTTCGGTCGATGTCTGAACGGAAACGCGCTGCGGCATCGGTGGCGTTGAGTTGAACGCCTCAATCGCTGATGACTTGATGATGGTTTAGCGACGATGACACTCCACCCCACTCGTTCGCTGTTGTTCCACGCGTTGGGTAGGAACCGGAGCTCACCAAGATGCCGGAAAAAGGAAGTTCATCCCGCCACCCGCCTTGACGACTTCGTCGTCGTCTTCCCCGTCATCGCAGTCCACCACTAGAGTCATCAACACCACCGCACTTCCAAATTTTCAAAAATCCTTCGCAGCGGCGTTCGACGCGATCAATGGGAGCGGACTTCGTGCCGTCCCGACAACGCGACGATGGGCACAGATTCACGCGGCTCTTCCCCGCGCGATCCATAGTACGTCATTGAACTCTATCAGTAGATTTTGCGTGCACCATCTGTCGCGAGACCCTACCTTGTTGTGCACCCGGGTGTTCCGGGGCTTCAAGAAGAGGGACGAGGGATGATCCAATTTTTTCGCGGGTTTTTCCGCATGCTGATCGTCGTTCTTCGCCGAATCGGATGCGGCAGGTGGAGTGGCTACGGATGCTTTCGTTTTCGAGTCCTTGAGGTCCTTCTTCGTGTCCTTGACGGGCTCGTCGTTATCGTAATCGTAATCATCGTCGTATTCCGGCTCGTCCTTCCGCTTTTGAGCGCTTGCGAGGGCCACGAGTAGAACGAGGACTATGACGACCCGCTGCGGAGCACCAATCAATCGAAGGGTTAGCTCCCTTGGTGCAACATCGATGAAGCTCCTTCACTCACTCACTCGGTCGGTCGGCGAATCTCCGGGATTCAGGTGACGTTGTTCCGGCCGAGATTTCGGGAACTCGAGTGTCGCCACGACGGAATAATTCGACGATAGAATACATCCGATTCTGCACGGCGCTTCAGAACGAGCGCGTGGAGACAGTCGAGATCGACGAATTTTTCAAGAGCCGCACTTAACGGAGTGATACTTACCATTGCGAAGTAAGCGTCTCGGCAGCCGGAACGAAATGCTGCGCCGAGAAGATCGCGACGCTAACGGTGAAGGCTCTGCCGCGAGGGAGTCCAGATCACCACCAGCCGTCAACGATTGGACTGCCATCCGGTTTTGCAGCTCGCTCGCTCGCTCACCCGCGATCCCGCCCGCCCGCCAGCCAAGCAACCAACCAACCCGCGTCTTTTGCCCCGCACCAGAACGAGAGGATTCCGTAGATTCTCATTCCGCGCTGGGAACTTCCAGACGACACGATAAGCGAATTTTCGTCAAAACTCACTCGCTGCTCGAAGCCTCCTCGCGAGCCGCATCGATTTTCCCATTTTTCATTTCCTTCCACAATATTGACAAAGCTTTCTTCGATGGTTTCCTGACTAGGTAACCTTCGTCAGAGGAACGGGCTCTCATCCTTGAGAGCTTGGGTGTTCGGAAATTCCATTTACTCCCAGAGAGTCGATCCCGGTATCGGTCTTCCGTCTATGAATGCGGCGCGAAAACGAGTCGATCAGAAGGGCCTTATCCGACCTGAATCTCCGAGCTACTGCTAGACCCAGCGAGTTGCCAATTTCCCTTGTCTCAGAATCACCCCTTGGATGTTCCTTCTCTGCCTGGCCCAGATCAGTGGCTACTGGCTAATTCTTCGATGACCACAGTCGGGTGCTCCTCGCTCCGAAAATTGCGAGAGACACTCTCTTGGGAATCACAACGGGAACGCACCGAGGAAAACTCTCCCGCGAGACCTCTCCGTAGCCCCGGCGACCAGCTATGGTAGTCGAGGATTAGCTAGCGATCGGCTGTCACAGCTCTTTCGATTTGCATTCATGAGTTGCGGTATCCATCAAGGATCTATCATTCTGGATCTAGCTAGCTAGTTTGAAAGAGGATGTCCGACAGATCCGACAGAAGGAGGGTCAAGAACTTCTGCGCTAGTTAATAGCAGCTCGCACGCTGCCATCGGTCTGTCAGCGCTCGACCCACGATGCCAAGGTCGTAGCATTGCCCCACGTAACGACAATCAATCGTGTCTTCATCGAAAAAACTACTTGTGCTACCGACTACGTCTACAGGAAGAAGAAGCCGTGGAAGATATCGTTGTATGCAACGTTTCCTCACCGTCAAAAACCTGGCCTGCCGCTCCTACGAAAATTCCCTTGGTCGCTCCCAGGCGCACGCTCGAGCTTATGACAGAAAGAAGCTGTCGCGAAGTACGTTTGAGTCGATGCTTTCGAGAAAATTGGCAATTTTTGAGAAAGGCGCTCCCCGCTCACTTGCATTCTGGCAAGTGTGCTTCGTGAAGGCCCCCGGATTCATTATATGATCGGGCAGGCACGGTAACAGCTAGCTGGGTCAGCCGGTTATCAAATCGAGGCGTGGACGGACAAAACGACGAACGACATTCTCAAGGCCAGGAACGGCGACACGCAGACGAACCCAAGGAACGGATAGAATGACGCGTAGACAGCGTCAGGCTATGCTGGCGACCTGGAGCCGAACTACGTATCCGATTTTATTCCAAATATACTTGAGCGACACCCCCATCCATGCTGGTTGCCTAAGAAAGGATGCCCCTAAAGAATCGGACTGCGATTCCGCGTCCCGGACACGGAAAATACCGAACCGGAGACGTCGAATCGATCTCCCTTGTGACTGTGATTTTCGCTACTCCCTATGGGCGATTTTAGATACGACAACTAGCAGCTTCTTCGCAAGAACAAACGTGGAAAATTCGGGAGCTGGGCTCGTTGGCGAACGAATTCTGTCAGTTGAAGACAAGTCGGCGCGCCTGGGACTCCGGTTTCCGACTCAAAATACTGCGTCGCGGCGGAAGGGAACTTTCTTCGTTCTGCCGGTAATTCTTCGGATCATGAATGAAAGGGGATTGCGATGAGCGAAGCGAGCAGAAGACGAAAATTCCGATTATCGATAAAAAACACGTTTGTTTATCACTCGACACTCTGGCTTCTCGTTCTTGAATCATCCTTCAGCTAGCGATCGGCCAGGGAGCAGGTAGACAAGCAGAACAGCCAGCCGAGCATCGGAACACATCGCCAACATCAGCCGTGACTGATAAGCGACCCCTCCGCCTCCCACCGGTTCAACAAGAAGAAAGTGATGATCATGCTTTCTTCCATGAAATTCGCGCAGGAAAAACGCTCGTAGTGGAGCAACCCGATGAGGAACATTCTTCGATAGAGCATCATTGGTCACAGCAAGTTTAGGATCTCACTTTCCATGCTTCCCCATTTTTTTCTCCATCTTAATCCGCATCGTCATCGCTGCGGAAGGTTTCACCGATGGAATGGATGAAGACGGCGCCGACCGCATGTGTAGGTAATTCTTGGAGCGTGAGCTGGACACAAGTATAATGAGGGAAGTTTCGCCTACCGAAGCTCGTCCGTTTCACTTTTCCCCCCGCATTTCGCTTCCCTCATGCCCGCGGTCAACTGTATTTATATCTCAGAATCGTTGCAAGGACAGAGCTGTCGACCGGTGTGAGCAAAAATCTTCCCCGATGCTGCCGTGCTTGGCAGCGTCCGCGTCGCGGTCGGTGGGGTTTCTTTTCTGGTTATCGAAGCTTTCGGGGAAGAGACTTTCCCTCCCGGACCGTTTTTTTTCGTCGAGGCAAACGGAGCTTATTGGTGAAGGATAACTCCGGAGAATACATTCGGGAGCATTCAGGAACTCTGCAGTCGAGCACATGATCGTGTGTATGATGAGCATGTCCTTTTGAGTCTCCATGAGCTATGATACCCTCGGTCGGTATTCGAAGATAGGATTTTCACGTCAAACGTCCAGTTCATGCTTTCTCTATCAAGCCCCGAAACGAGGAGGTGGATTCCTTTCATTCCGATTATTCTTTCAGCGGATTCACTCGAGGGTTCATGTTCAACTTCTCCACACAGCTCTCGATCTCAAGACGCTCCTTATGGAGGAGGGAAGGGGGGGGGGGCACCGGAAATTGCTCGAGCCTTTCCGATTCAGTGGCAATCATTTCTCTCCCCTCAATGGTACATGCCAGAAAACTTCTTGAGATGATAGAGAGCTCAGAGAATCACTCCGATACCAGAATCCGCCATACCCTCCTATAGGCAGGGCTGGTATTCGGCTCGAATTCTATCGGAAGGAATCGGCATTCGATACCGATTCGGTGTAAATAGACATTCGGAAGCGTTCGGTGTTTGACATCGGAGCCGTGTGACGGATTACCCATCCAAAGCTGACCGACAAGCGTCAAGATCTCATAGAATCCGTCCACTGAAAGTTTCTTGCCTATCGTACGCATCTTCCTGAAACCCGAAAGAGAAGCGGTCACGATGAAGCAGACAATTGACCCAACAGCGCCATGTTCGGCTTGCATTCTTCATCGTTGCCCACTGGCGTCGATCGCGTATGCTTTGTACGCTACCGCATCTCACGCAACAGGCGTGGGGCTGATCAGAGCGGTTGGCGCCGCCATGTCGCGTGGACACGGTAGCGGCACCGTAGACGACTGCGGCGATTCCTCCGATGGACTTGGCTTGACTCGCGGATAGCTCCGGTCATGTTCATTTTCCGTCCTGCATTAGGAGACATTCATTCCGCCTGTAGCTTCGCTTGGAGCGAAGCTGGCAGAATCGCTCAGGCGGCTTCCAATGACGCTTGGGGACCCCTGACCGTCAAATGGAGAACCACGAGAGGAAAAGTGGCACAATAAGCATCTTGCCAGCTAAAAATATTATCAAGAACTAATGAGTTCTGTGCCTGTGCACGAGATCGTTGATGGTCATCGCGAGAAGCCGGTCCGTGAAACAATCAGGAGAGCAAATGGTGTTTTTTTACCCCGGCGGAACCAGAATCCCGCGTGGGTTCCGTTTTAGGAAGACGCTTGAATCCTCACAGGTTTCCTTCGCTCCGACTGGAAGCCTCGTTTTTGCACACATAGTGGAGTTCAAGGTCGATAGCGACTATTGTTGGCGATTGGTGAAATTCCTCTAGAGACGTAAAGCCATGGGTGATCGCGAGTTTCCCAAAGAAATATCGATAGACCTAGGCCAGCGGTCAAGTGGAAGGGAATTTCGAGCCGACCGCAGACGAAGTATATCCGGTCCATGGGCGTCGGCATGAGCATCACGACGAAAGCTCCGACGAATCCTCTCTTTTGGGGAAGCGACCCACGTCTCCGTCAAGAATACCGCCGAGCTCTGTCGTGCGGAATAAAGGTTCTCCTGCATGATTGCACCGTAATCCAGAGTCGGAATTCCTTCTTCTACCCATCGCCGTAATTGTATGATCGGAGTGACCCTATCGGTTGTGTACTCGAGATATTTCGAATCTGTCTTGAGCCGATAATCCAGTGATTCTTAAGAAAATGATGAGGCTCCCAGGAAGGGGACGAACTCTAGATTGACGATTGATCGTATCTGAATAGAAGAGCACCTTATGCTGGGAAAAATGAACAAGTTGAGAGGATCAAGAATATACTACAATACCAATAAGAATCTATACGAACTCCTCGTCGGAGCCACCAAGGCATTAAGTGCCGAGACACACGCGGGTGAGGGATTGAGAGATTCATTCCATGCCCACGTCGACCGAGAGCTGCCTATCCTTGATGATGCTTCTCTCGGCCGATCGTAACGGATTTCCTGGTCCTGGTCGCGATCTCGCTCAGAGAGACAAATTTCCAGAAACTCCTTTAAGAGCAAATGATGACTAGACAGTATTTATTAGTATTGCGTCAGATTCATGACTGCTCGACAGATCCTGTACCAGTCGGAGAGCACATCGGGAACCATACATCGGGAACCTGATTGACAGTCGTTTTTCCTCGAAAATCGGCTCGGCACCTCGGAGGGAAGGTTTCACTTCCCGGAGAGGGATTCGCCGTGCTCTCGGCAATGGGATCGGATAGAATGCAACAGCTCTCTCACTGACGTAAGTATATCCGTCAATAATAATCATCAGGGTCTTATTTCAAAGATCCATCCGAAATGCATAAGATGAAAACTTGTGACTCGATTGGCAGTAGAGAAAGGTTACGAATTCTCCCTGGAATACCAGCTGTCTATGTACGCGAAGCCAGCTCGTATCGGGAAATTTTTTCAAGGCGAGCTCCCGGTATTGGATAGTACTGTTCGCTCTCCCGCTCATCTGACAGCTCAAAGCACAGATGGAGAACTCATCCGGATGAGTGATTTTAAAGAGAAGAGCACGGCACACAAAAGCTCGAATAGAGGAATGCAGCGGGGAGAGGAGGCTTCGGAGCTCTGAGAGAGGCAATCCAGAATAAGGATGTTTTCCGCGGCTACGAAAATATCAGAAGATGGTCCCTTCTTTGTCAGTTTTTTTGCAGATCGAATTCAAGCTCTCCAGTACGGAGTGTTTCGCCAAGCAATCGGTTTCCCGATTTATCGAATCTCGGATGAGATATCCGAGATGGCTCTGCTAGGTGAAGAAGATCGGTGAGGGTTGGAGGGATTTCCCTCTTACACTTGCGAATGCTCCTTCCCGCCTCTTGGTTGAGTAACTCTCCTGGTCAAAGTCGGAGGCTCGGCTCGTTTCTGAGGTAAATCATCTTTCGGAATGCGGCTCACGACGATGAAAGATGTTATGATCAATACCAACTGGAAATGCAGACAATGCCTCTATCAGCCACCAATCTCGATGAGGGCATTCGAAAAAAATGAAATAAAATACTGGGAATCTTGGGCGGGCTTACCTGTAAGACGAGAGCCAAAACACACAGCAAGCCCAGGATGAGACCGTGTTTCATGATGAAGTCCTGCAGGACTTCGACGCAACCCTGCAGGATGTGATTTTCGATTTAAGAGCTTCCGATCGTACTCGGAATCCGGACGCGACACGCACCGTCATGACGCTATGCGCGGAGTCAAGGATGAAACGTTATCAAATATTGGATCAATTACATCTTGACTGCGGAACATGTTGTAGTATCTGTCGTTGTGGTAGCAACTGGTCGGGACCGGGATATTCCTTCTGAGGTAATCCTCGTAACCGTTGGCTCCGCAACAGTGCATCTGAAACAAGGGAATTCATAAGTACATGTACATTGCTCTTCATAGAGTTGAAGAAGACTGGGATCCTGGGCGACTCAGCAAGCCTCATCGAGTTCGGCTGATATGACGACGACGAGTCTAATAGTGCTCTATAGTGCGCGTATGAATAGATCGATGGCAAGCTCCTCGTCCCGCAGGGAAGCCGGAGAATCGCTCCATTCCGAGCACCCAAGTAACCTTCACAGTCCAGGTAAGCAGAAGTCCATGATTACGCGATCCGGCAAGGCTCGTTCGATTACTAGCCTGAGATCCGAAGGAAGCTCGGATACAGAGGTATCGTCATTCATTCCCGTTCCAGAGTAGGATGCAGACCTTAGCGGCCCGAAAACGGGATACGCTCTGTCATGCCTCTAAGAAGAAAAAGCGCGCTCCAACCTGTGTGTACTCGCCTAGCGAACTTATCCAAAATCGCCATTCAGCGGAGAGACGGTACGCGCGCGTAGCGGAGAATCACTCGACTCGCCGCCTGCCGTGATCCTCAGCCAGCTCTGTAGCGCGCGCAAATGGGGCTTGAGCGCAACAGGACTTGTTCGCACGTATAACCTACGCGCAAACTGGACCTGCGCCCAGAGAGAGTGAACCGTCGACCCCGCGCGCAACTTGACTCCCGCGCACGAAAAAATTGCGTCAGCAAGAGGAGTTCCTGAGGGAATTTTTCTCGCCAGATTTCGGTACTCTCATCCTCGCGCTATTATCCGAGGTGTGATCTGGACACTTCTGACTGAGGGATCCGCAAAATCGAATGCGTCTTGTGTCTAAATATTCTTTCATGACAGCAGCAATGTCGCTCTCAGTCCATCACCATGATTTCTGGCCGAATCGTGAACGTATTGAGCCTACACATACATTCATAGGTGCATAAGTCAGCTTCCTCCGTCGATTTCCCGATCGGATACACTGGTCGTCCTTGCTGCAATCTGAAGCTCTCCATTTTCGTACATTCAGTGATCGACGTCGACGCGAATGTTCGCGCGAACTGACTTAGCATGTTATATGGTATGTGTATCAGCTCTGTTTGTCTCCACGATCACGCATCATCAAGGGTCGCATTTCAGCTAAGGCTGGATGACGTCTCGTAGTATTCTACGGTACTTCCGAAGCTTTGACGCAAGGACGGATCACACGTCATGCCAAGTATGTGTTCCACAAAGATGACAGATGGAACTTTCGGCCTTTTGCATCCGGTGAGGGGGGGGCATGCTCTCTGCTCCTGTTCATGTGCATCCATATCTAGGTTCGAGAGGATTGGAAAGTAGACGAGCATTCCTCTCAAATACAGAAAATACTGTATTTTCTTCTGCCATTAGGTTTTAGGGGCTAGTCATGCATGGGGGGAGGAGGGCTCGATCGCGCCATAGAGGCTCATGATTAAACTTACGTAAATGATGCTTCATGCCAGCTTCTCAAGATTCCAGACGGATTCCTTCAGTCCTGCGCCCCCTCCCTATCATATTTCGAGAATATTCCGGAGGAATCCGCCCCGTGTCCCCCTGGAGCTCCCTCAGAAGAACTTCAGCCGAATACTCAACCGGAATCTTGAGTCGATAGCGTCCTAATTCATTTCTCTGAGACAAGGATCGACAGATACGTGCCGAGCTTCTAGACCAGCGGTCATGTCCTTATAATTGAACTCTTGATTCGATTTGTTGGTGAGTATTGGTAAGATTCGGATATCACGAGACGGAGATGATACAAATTATATTCGAGACACGGAGGGCCGTGTTTTCGATTAGGTGGGTACGGGGGTCAGTACTGGCGAATGCGTTCGTCGCCGCCCCGAGGGGATCGCGCCAGGCATCGAGTTCCGTTCCCTACAGAGAACGACCTTGAGGCGGAGGAGCGCGCGGGAAAAGCAGAGGTGGAGAGCGCTTGTTTTTCCGCCGATCGATTCAAAGAGAACTGCGAGGCACTCGTTTTCAACCCTCACCCAGAAGTTGCAGTGACAACACGAGTCCCTACGCAGTTCCGATGAACGAACGACTCGCGCGATCAGAGCAGAAACACCTGAATCGATGCGAGTCCGACGATGGCCTCCCGCGCACGCTATGTTGAGCTGAAGCATACCGCTACAGAGTTCTTTTCGAATGCTTTCCGAAAATATATGTATGCCAACATGACCTTGCGATGGGATCCGTCTGCGGATCGGTTATAGTAAGCTCGTAGCTCGAAGTGAAATTCATTCTGCCATGGAAACGATTTCATGAGGCGGTTAGTGAAAAAAAATCGTGGGAGGGGATCTCCTTCGTCGGGAGTTGAATGAATGCTTCGGTTCGCTCAAACGATCGTGCGGCAGCGAGATCAGCGGCGATCCCGAGGATGATTTTTCTGTCAGTTTTTGCGGAAATAGCGCTCCGCGGTCGGAAAGCGGAAGCTCTGATTCATCAACAAACGCAGTAGAGCTGACTGCGGGAGCGTGATTTCGCTGATTCACTCGGCGAGTCGGATACGAGCCCCGACTCATTCACTCACCGCATATTCGATGAAACTTAGCGCATTCCTGTTGAAGCTCCAGTCATCGTCGCCGCTGTAGATAGCCACTCCCGTAGAGTACTGTCGGATCACTCGACCGATCAATTCATTCAGACGCATTTCGAGCTGCAAAATATTGGAATCAGGGAAATTATGGTCATACAATTCCGGATTGAGGCCCCGGAGTCGTAGTATCGATTGACGGATCCACGGATGCTGAGGGGACGCGAAGTGAACGTCTCGACTTACAGTGTTTCCTTTCTTGTGGTACCAAGCCAGTATGCAAGCCGCGACTTCCAAAACCATCAGTAGAAGGAGGAGCACTGCAAACTACGGAAGAGAGGAAAATAGACTTCGGACTCTATGGCCCGTTCAGAAGAATTTACAAACGACGGCGGTATCGTTATTCGTGGAGATCGGAACGCTAAACACTCACCGTCAGGACCATGGGTTTGTTCTTGATGCTCACGCTGATGCATCCGAAGATTCCAATGACCAGTATGGCCGCACCGATGATGATCACTAGAATCGCTGCATTTTGCAATGGTCCAAGATGTTGGAGAGACTTCAGACCTCTCAGACGGATATCGCTCACCAGTAGCGCGCCCAGAATGATTATAGCCACACCGATGAGCTGTTTTGATTTAATTTCGTCGATATGTGAGGTATTTTCTCATGCATGAACGACCGCATCCCGAATTATCCCTTACTGTGCGCGCAACTGATCGGGAATGGCCCGTGATCTATCTATGGGATATTGTTGTCAATTATCGGTAACACAGGGCCGTGTCGAGCCACTGCGCTTACGTCTTGGGAATCGAACAGCCATAGATATCTTGAGAGTGAGTCACAGAAGACACGATTCGAATGGGATTTGCAGCCTTTGTCCTAGGGGAAACCGATCGACCCGAGGAACAGTAGAGAGTCTCCGAGCACGAGATTCCGTGACATTCTTTAGAGAGTTCTCGAGGCGAAGACCCGATGGAATTGAGACTGCGATGTTGGGGGCGATGGAATCGAATTTTCATGAACTCTTACTCACCCACATGATGCAAGTGAGTCCCATGTGAAGCAGCTCCACGCAACCGGCTTTCGGTGACGGCTCGTCAAAGCTGTGCATATTTTTCCGGAGTGGCCGGTTTTCTTCCGGTTCTTGGAGCGAAAAAAAATCATCAGCGCACCGATTTCACCCACTGGAAACTACTCTACCAACGGGATTCCGTCCTTGATACTCTGGGCCCGGGCCGAGTCCACTTCTCGTGATGATCATACATGTACCGCGTGATTCACAGGCATTCTGTTCGGAAACGGTGTGGAAGTTCCGAATCAACAAGTTTCTGACTTTCGGATGACGGGCAACCTACCTTCCTCTCTTTCCCTCCGGGTGGATTCGAACATTTCCTCCTTAGCGTGAGGTTGAGTCCTTTCGAGTAATCCTGAATGTTCTTCCTGTTTCGGTGGATACTCTTCGTAAGAATCGCCTTCCCTCTCCGACATGGGCGTCTCCAAGTTTCCAACGCAATATTCCGCCTAAGCCTTCGTCGACCTGTTGCTGCTGCTCTTTCTCTTGCTGACAACCTTGCAGTCGACTATTCCGCCCGCCCGTCCGCCCGCCAACTGTTGACGGTTTGGTCGATCGCGCAGGGAGAACAGGCGCCTTAATTTTTCGACTCCTAACTTGGGCCGCACAATCAGAAACACATTCACAATCAGAAATCCCTAGCGCAGAAATCTGACAAGGGAAATCCGATAGTCGACGGTTGGTCCGCGCAATGTGGACGTCGGTCGTGACACGCAAAGTGGAATAGTCGATCCTAGAACGAGTCCGCTTTGCTCGGCGGTGATGTTTACGATGTTGCTCGGCTACGAAGTGTAGGAGAGAAGCCTACGAGAGATCCGCAGCTCGCCTACCAGCCTCAGCCTGCCAGCCAGCAACTTGGGAGCATCACTCGGAAAATCCCTGATCATACCGGACCACGAACGTCAAATGAAATCCTTGCATGATGGTGGAGCGACTATGAGCGAGTGCGCATAGAGCGATATCGGAGAGCCGGATAAAAGTTCCAGCTCCGAAATTCTGTTCTCAAGTGGATTCGTTCGTTTCAGATTTTTCGATTGGTCAGAAAAGCGTCGAATAATGTACCAATAAGTATGTCCTTATCCACCTGGAAGCGGATCAATTATTTAGGGAACTGCACGATGTTCCACGAAACCCCGGAAACTTCCCTCCCACGCACTGGTCGCCGTATCGCGGCGATAATCGAGGATCGCCGTCAGGCCGAGACCTCGAATCGTTCAAAGTCGTCTCTCGATTGAGACATCGAATTATTCGTCCGCTCGGAAGTCCGCGGGCTTCCCTGCCCTCAAGGACCGCAGCGAGCAATCGTTGAGTGGCCATTCTGTCGCGGACGTTGTAGCACTCGAGCACCCCGAGAGCTCCGGATCAATTCGATCCAGTGCAGTCCGCAGGTGAGCGGCTCGTTCTAATTCGAGAGACATGATGTAAGGTTGTTCACGGATCGTGACCTATGCTAGCGCCATCGTCCATGGGCAGTCATGAAGCGTATGTGAGAATTGAATCTGAGTTTTCTGACGAGGTTTGTATTCGTGGCAGCGAATGAATGTTTGCGCTCGTGAGCGTAGCCGTCAAAGCATTCGGCTGACTAAAGCTAATCTGGGACTCCCTGTTCGGCCACTCGAGTCCACAAGTCGCTGCTAACAAGAAACGATCTTAGACTAAAGTTGCTTCGACTAGGAACCACACCTAGATGAGCAGTAAAATCAACAATACGTCATAAAATCGTCGCTGGCGCGAGGAACTACTCTGTGGCATTCTATCGATATATCTCATAAGACTACGCGACTTCCTCCTACGACTGCGAGACGACCAGCAGCTACGAAAACTACAAATCCGTGCAGAATGTGAATCCCGACCACTGTTCAACCGAGTGCTGGATCCTCACGGGTCCGCTTAATCCGATCGACCGCTCCTTGAGGCGAACGTTCCGCGATGCCTTCACGCGACGGGAATGACGTTCGTTCCTATGTCTGGGGCTTTTATCCAACGGGAATCCGTCGCTGACTTCCACGGAAGTCGGTAATGCCGTCGGAAAGTGATCCTGATACGCTTGAGAGCGATTCTATAGCTATTCTGGATGCATGGCATGAGACTCGGTCAAGCGGGCTGCGTACGGGAGAGACACGACTACAGAAGAAGAATTCTGATCCAGAAAATCTCGGTAGAGGTAAAATACGATGAGTGCAAGTGCTCCGAGGCACTGCCTCAGCGCATCCTCAACTTCGGGAGGGGGAATCCTGTTTTCCGCCGTCGAATTCTCGGCTCCTCTTAACCTTCGAAGGTTTCGGAGTATCTAAGCTAGGTTCTTGAGTATTATCCGAGAGTCTCGCTGCGCCGGTGTAGCGCGGCCGCGAACGCGAATCTGACTCGACTCGGAGCTTCTCCTGGATAAAAACTTGGAGGCTAACCTCGACCACGATTCAGAGCTGATACAAGGAATCTCAATGAGAATTGAAGGGAGCTTACCCCGGGACTCATCGATCGACGACGACAGATGTAGCTCACTGCGCAGAGTGCATGAGGATCAGGCTCGTTGCGCCGCGCCGGCAGGAAAGCCCTGAGCGATGATATTCGTCGACGAAGACGGAAAGAAATCAGGAGAGGACGAGTGAGATGCTTGAGACGGGGTATCGAGCATCACGTAATGTTGTCCATCTTTCATTCGCGTCGCTGGCACTCGATGGCGGCCGAGGATTGTTTTCGCTGGGGAATAGCATTATACAAGATCGGCGCGGCAGCGGAGCTCTGTTTTTCTATTTTTCTGTTTCTCTACTTTCCTGAATCTATGTTCCTCTGTTTGGATTCGCGTTTTTCCTATACAGGGATATATTAATGATCTTTTCGCATAGGATCCCCTGCGGAGAAAGTCGACCTGTCGTGCCTCCACCTAGTCGGATTTGGGTCACAGTCACAACGCCATGACTGCCGGGGGCCTAGGGCAAGATTTGATCCATCTAGGCAATCGTATTTATCCTCCATGAAATCTGAGACGGAAAGAAGGATCGGATGGCTTCGAAACTCCTGAATCATGGATTCGAGGTCACGTCTACTCCCGCGGATCTCCCGCGGGGTATTAGGTCGACACTTAGGTACATTCAAAACATGTTTAGGGAGTAGCATAGTAGGTCCCGACGACCCGGTACGGAAGCTATTGCAATTCATTTCAGTAAATTCAGCCACAGATTAATGTGGGAGGGATTGTCAGACCTAGTAGCATCATGGCGGAAAAATATCGGACATCCGTCGCGATTGATGAATCGCAAGGACGAATTGCGACTCCCTCCTTGCAATGGAGGCCCTCAAGAGAACTCGCGACGACACCCGCGTGGATTGGGTAAACAGCTCTCGACCCCCGTAAAACAACATTTAAACTCTATTGACTGTAAATGCTGACATGGAGCGGGATTGCGAGTGGCGAGTCGGTTGTGGACAAGGAGAATGATACTTCGGGAGGGAAACGCCAGGAGTTGATTCTCACAGCGTTTTATACTCATAATTCATAATTTTTATCTTTGAGTGATTGAGAGGTCAAGAATCGACCGCGGCTCGTCCTAACGGCATACGACTCCTCGGAACTCTAACATCCTTCGCTCCGAATCGCCCACGTGAGAGGGTACGCTGCACCCCTTCCGGAAGGGATCAATTTGAGCGCAAGTTTCTATGCCCCTCTTCTCATTCCTCGAGCGAACTTCCACCCCGCCGAGAGATCGCGCGGGCGCTCGGGAGCCAGGGTTCGGCCTCCCGCGTCCCGAAGAACCCGTTCTGGTGCTCGCTCAAGGACCATGGGAACTCCGCTCTATCTTCAGAGGACATCCGTCCGATGCACGACTCGGAGAATAAACTTGCCATCAGAGGCATTGTAGAGAGGGTCGGTGCAAATCTGCTCGTGATAAGCACAACCTCCCGACCATCTGGTCAGGGCGGTGAACTGGAGGAATCGACCTCCTTAAAAATATTGAAGAGACAAGCCGGAGGACAAGATCTCGAAATCGACTCCTCAGAGGTCCGCGGGTACTCCGGGCTTACCGTAGCTCATTTGTCGTGCTTGGCATTGAAATCTCTGAATGCGCTTAAAGACCTCCGGCTGACGAGATATTTGGGTGAGAGTGCCAAGTCCTCTCTCCCAAGACCTCATGGAGAAGCGGCACCACGGAAACACGCACGAGAAACAGCTGATGGGTAATCCTATTGGATACTGTGCTCTAAACTCACTGTAGATTTGATCCGATCGCCCTGTCGAAGTAGAAAACTACCCTCTCGAAGATCTCCCGAGAGCACGTCGATTTCCTGCGCCATCCAATCGTTCTTATCCTGTCCTCGGCGTGTGCGCGGTGCGCTTGACTATGGTTAGGTGCAGCGTCGCGCTCCTCTTCAAAAAGGTAGAAGTCCTCCGCATTGCTCGAAATTGTTGCGACTAAGCCGAACGGAAACTATTCACGCCTCCGGCTTCCCTTAGAGTCCCCTGTGACCTGTACTGTGATGATTTATGATCCAGGATATTTCCGCAGAGACTCCCGCAGAAGGCATCTGTCGCCTTTCCGAAATCAAAGTTCCTCGACAAAATCCATCTGACAGTCTCCGGCGGCGCCGGAGGGTCGGGTTTTCCGAAGATCATGGGTAAGGGAATCGGAGATAACAGGACCTTTCTTAGATCTGGCATGAGCCTGACAACCTGAACTTCGCAGTCTCCAATGGTTTTGTGCTCCAGGCCTCGGCGGTCAAGGGGGCAGCGTTTATATAGAAACGAAGCCGAACGCGACCCTAATGCAGCTCCTGAGCTTGTACCCTGATCGGAAAGTCAAAGCTGGCCGCGGCGGAAACAGTGCTCCTCATCAGCTTCTCGGAAAAGACGGAGCGGATGTCACGATCCAGGTTCCTCCTGGAGTCACTGTCTATGGCCCTGGCAGAGAAGTTATAGGTAAGTCTCTTGCGACGGATCGACTGCTCGATATGTCCGTGCCTCCCGGGTTTCTTCCCCGGAGCTCCACTTCATTCCCCGTTTCCAGACCACCGATCAGCTGAGGCGCACCGAGAAGTGGAATCGATGGTACTCCTTTTTTCAGTTGATCTCGTCAAGCCTGACCAGAAAGTCTTGCTCGCTAAAGGCGGCGAGGGCGGGACCAGCAAGAACAAGTATTGTGGGCATCGGGCCGCTCAATTGCAGGTAGACTTGATCCTGAAAGTGATCGCGGACATCGGTTTCGTCGGTTTCCCCAACGCGGGCAAGTCGACTCTTCTGAGGGCCTTGTCGAGAGCGTACCCGAAAGTTGCGAGCTATCCATGTAAGTGAGCTTGAATGACAGTCGCTCCCCGCTCATTCCTGAGACAGGACGGGCGTGTATGACGGGGAGTGAGGCGGTTCACATGCGGACCTCCCCCCTTCCGCCCGGGGGCGGGGGTCCGCGTCGGGATCAAATCACCTCATCCATCGCCAGTCTCAAAGATTTAGGAGTCTGAAACTCGGATTCCATCCACAGTCACGACGCTGCAACCGAATATCGGAATCATGGAGTATCCGGACGCGCGACAAATTTCCTGCGCTGACTTGCCTGGATTGATCGAGGGCGCCCACAAGAATGTCGGTCTCGGTCATAGTTTCCTCCGACACATCGACAGGACGCTGTTACTTCTTTTCATGGTCGACATTGGAGGATTCCGCTTGAGTCCGGCCAGCCCCGAGCGCGATGCTTTCGAAACCGTCATGAGTTTGAACAAGGTGAGCTCTAGGTCGCCCGCAAGCCACGAAAGCTCTTCCGCATGAAGGATGGATAGCAATTATACTTATTCCGTAGGAACTGGAGCTCTACCGCGAGGATTTCTTGACAAAGCCAGCTGTTCTCGTTGTGAACAAGATGGACACTGAAGGAGCGGATCAGAAACTCGAATCACTGCGAGAAAGACTAGATAGCGACGAAGCTTACGGAGAGCTACCCGAAGACATTAAACCGCAGCAGCGGATAAAATTCAAAGACGTGGTCAGTATTTTGCTTCGCTTCAATTTTTCCGTCATTAGGGCGTCGAACCGTCGGCCTTCGCGTATGCTCCTTTGACAGAGCCACTCACTACTGTTCGCCGTTGCAATATGTTTGAGCGATTTGAGCCTCCTTGAAAGATATCGGAGCTGCTAAGTTCTCTCGGAGCTCACTAGGAGATTTCAATCACAGATCGCTATCTCCGCGGCCAAGAAGATGAACACGGAGAAACTTAAAGAAGATCTGAGGAAGCACCTGGACGAGTTGTTCGAAGAGAGATGGAAAGCCACACATGGTGACCGAGTATTGATTCGACCACTGAAGTTGGTACGACAATTGATGTGAACAAGCCATAAATGAAGTATACGTACTTGTAAAATAAATTAAATCCTAATGGTTGTACTGCGACTGCCGTTCAGAATTCCTTCCTGCGATTTCGCGCACCAAAGACCATGAAGTGGAAATCTCTCACTCGGAACGTAGATGAGCCCGGGGGGACTCGACCGATCGAATCGAAATTTTCCCGAAAGCCCCAGAAGGGATCCTCCCTCATCAATGATTATTATTCGGTCTCGGGATAAGTCAACAGTTTTCGCCATCGTTTGCGGAGGGATGAGACAATTATGACGGGAAGTTAGGAAGAGGACACTATCGTGTTCTGGAACTCTCAGTTTGCGAGTCGTTTATTGTCCGATCGGCATTGAGTCGAAATTTAACAGAGTCACCTCGAACTCCTCTGGGTCGAACACCCCAATAATCTCGCCGCTAAGGAGCTGACTTGACTGCACTGCTCAGATTCTTGGAACGATTAACATTTATTGAACCATCGAGTGTTCCAATAATCCATTAAGATCGCGTCGATCATGCATACGTACATCGACAGTCCTGATTGTCAGAACTTCAAAGTCGAAACTCGAGCAGTAGCATCGTATACCGGTCACCACTGGCCAATAAAACAACGTTTTAAAATGTTTGCACTGAACAATTTCCGCTGGTCCTTCATTCTCCGAACCCCTTAAGAATATATTCTATCTACCACGGGAATGCATCATTGAGTCGGAGAACGTTCGCAGACGTCGGAGCATTCAACACGGTCGAACTATCATCCACACTCACATCTTGTTTCGACTCACATCTACCTACGCTCGCTCGACGCTTTCATGCCGCGCTACGAGGACACATTCTTCGAACAATTGCTGATTGGGAACTAGCGGAGATTCGAGCGGCCCGAGTTCTCCGGAGGCTTGTTCCGAATAGGGTCAAGTCAACCATTCCCCGCCCAGCTTCTTGAGCTCATGAGTCCATTCTATTGTTTGGGGCTCCGTTTCGCGACGGATACATCACATTCCACAGATGACTTTCGTGCATATTTGACTGTCGGAGTAGGTTTTCTCCAGGGTCTTCCGCTGAGATTGAATGCCGTGAACTTCGGAGCTCACGGACGAAGTCCTAGATAATGAAGATGAAAGTTCTGGACTCTGCACCCCGGATGCGAACAACGTCAGAAGTTGGTTGTGACACCTGCGAACGGGAGAGATAGCGTAAGGGTATATTCATAGAGGGACGACGGAGGGGGGGGGGAAGGAGCGAGCACCAGTCGTTAGACGTCCAAGACGTTTCTATAGAAACTTTGCTGGAACCACGGGAGCCATGGCTCCAGGTGGAGGGGATCTGTCATATGAGGGATTGGATCGAATACTTGTCCGTCACTGTCGGAGCCGCGGACCGTGAGGCGAGTCGAAATGATCTCCAGCGAAGGAACTTACTTCACAGTGATTTCTGTGCAGTTGTGAAGAACCTCTCCATCACAATGCCATACGGAGTTCTGTTTTCTGTCACCGATCGGCACGAATTCGAAGGACAACGATCGATACGATCGGACGAAACTGAAGTCGAACTGTAAGCCGCAAAGTCCGAATTTATCTCGGGGAACCGCTCCATGCTAACTTTCTGATTGTTTGTTAATATTCAAGCTAATGGTCCTTCGTACGATTCCAAGATCTTGATTGACTCCGCAGAATCGGGGAATCGGAATAATAGACGTACCGGGTCTTGGCGGAAACTGTTGCCGATGGCCGCGAGGAATTGCAGGAAGTTGAGACGCGAACACTCTTGAACTACGCAGAGATCCATGAGGCCGTCGCCCAGATGAGCTTTTGGCGAAAATCCAGCCCGGCTCTTCGAGCACCGGTTGGCTATAAGAGCACAACTGACAGAGAGCATCTTACCCTCATAAACAGTTTCCCGCGAACCTTGCATATTCGGAGGTTTCGATGGGGTAGTCGCACAGCGCTCACAACTGGAATGATCATCGAAGGGAATGAATATCTGCTTTGATCTTCCGGAGATGATCACGGCATCGAGACTAATCCTCAGGGAAATATGCTGTCATCAGGCATCTCGCGCCGACTGACACGAAGTTGCACTCACCCTTCCAAACAAACTGGCATTTGGTGTCTTTCATGAGAGTCGTCGACGACCTTCACCCGGAGCTGGCCTGAGTATGATTGATTTTTCAGGAATGTCTGCCAACCAGTCCAGGTGTAACGTAACGGGCCCATCCATCTGTATTTCTCAGCGGTCTGAATATTGTCACCGAAAAAGCCATACGACAGGAAACCGGCGAAGTAACGCACAAGGCGACCGCCGCTGTGAATACTCCCCAAATCTATATTTATTCGAGATCCTGCAAAGAAGAAATTCCGTCTTGAGATTTTGAGTTCCAAGCAGCTCCCACCCGGCAGTAGCGACTACGCTGAGACTTTGGATTTCGGTTTTGTATCCACCGGACTGCCGCGTATCGCGAAGACGAAAATGCCCATCATACGTCGGACTCGGTCAGTGCAATTAGATCCTGGATCGATGCCCGCCTTACAACGGTTCAACATTGAAGCGTTCGAATTGCGCTTCGGCCGATGCCAGTTGTTGAGAAACGGCGGCGGAGAACGAAATCGATTCGGACTGCCGCCGCCGCCGCGCGACTCAGCCTCATTTCAGTGGTGGACGTCATTAGGCGAATCCTGAGTGAACAGCTTCGAGTCAATCACGGGGGTTCACCGCTAATAGTCTTATTCCGAATATCGAATTCCCAGCAGATCAGGGACGCGTAAGGGGAGGCAATTCCTTTTCAGAGTTATCTGATGCTCGAACTCTTGATCTTTGTTGTTCTTCGTACAAGTCATCGGTGCAAGGTTCTTTTCGCGACGGATGCGACAGACAATGACATTTCCGAACCCCATTCGATGGAGAAGGTACAGAAGGTGTCCCACGCGACAGCTGGACCCTCGCAGTACGCAGCGCTGTGAGCGGTGGCCGAATAATTTATTCAACAGAGGTTTATTTTTAGAAGCTGGACCGCATGGGAAGTTCTCTCACTCAGTCTTTCCGTGCCGGTCCCCGCAGGTCCCTTTCTCGCGCGAACTCTTGGGTTCGCACTTTTGTCTGGGGCTCCTAAGAATAGCTCTCGGGTAGATAAGGGAAATCGATTCAGGGTTAATTCCGTCTCCGCGTTTTCAAGCTATCTAGAGGTTGAGGAGGAAACTGAAGCTCGATGTCGAGCGTCTCAGGAGGACAGCTCACCGATGGGAGGACATTTTCTGGTATGAGTGTGAGACCGAAGTGATGATAAATTAAATTATTCAGCATATCGTATCATAGGAGCGAATGATCACCTATGGCGATGTGCAGCGCACTCGTTACGGCGCAGTTCGTGCCGGTCGTTGTGCAGACGAGGGCATCGGTGCTGCCAGCCGGAATGACTCCTACAGGGAGAGAGGCTGTGGGGGGGCTCGAAGCGATGACGGAGCCTTTCAAATTGCGTTGAGCTAATTGCATGAGTCCATTGATTAGTTCGTTCGCCATACCGTCTCCTCCGACGCAGACGGCGCTGGAAATATCAGTTCCCAGAATTAGTGATCCGATTAAGGTCCATATCGGTTCTAGTCCAGACACAGGCTCAGCATGATCCTCGAAGGTTTGGACTCTGAGAGGAAGCTAGAGACTCCGAGAGTCTCCACATGCTAAGAACAGGGAAGACTGCCTCCGATTCCACCGCCCGTGAGCTCGAGGCAACTCCACTGCAAGGAGAGAGGCTCAGATCCTCGCAGGTGGAGCGAGGGTCGGAGGTATTGGAGCGACGAGCGAGGGACGAGCAAAAAATGCTCATGGAAAAATCCCACACGCTGCGTGGTTTCTATTTACGGAAAGGTTACGAACACAATCGCCGCGGCTCATAAAAGGTGTCCCGAAAACATTCCTGCTCGTCACAACAGGGGTGGGAACCCCGCCCGAGCCCCAACTCCGACCTCGAGCTTAATCGGCTTATGTTTCCTACTACGCGACGTAGAGCTGACTCACCCGTCGTAGGACGAGACATCTTTTTCCAGGACGTATTCTTTGGAGTGGCCGGGATGGGTCGTGATCACCACCGTGCATTGGATTCCGCACACTTGGAAAACAGGGGAAGCCTGGAAAGCCGAATGTGTGTCGGTAGATGAGTTCTCCGAGCCACGCAAGGAAAACCATCTCCGGGAGCTGCCTCGATGAACTTTATACGACCTACCTTTTTATAGTAGATGCTGCGCGCTTTCTTCTTCCCACCGAATGGATTGATGAACACGAGAAGTTTCTTTGGTCTGTTCAGGGGCTGCAGCTCGGAAGCAGTCATCTGCACAAAAGTGTCTCGATCGCTCCTGTCCTTGAAGCTTATCTGGGTTGTCTTCAATCGGAGCGCGGGTCCACTCTGGGTTGCGTAATATATTCTGGCCACACAATCACCCTGAGCGGAATCAAATTTTTTTTAGTATAGTGGAACTCTCTTGTCTAGACGGACCTCCAATACGTGATTCTTATATGAATGATCCACGTCCGGATCTGCGTCCGTCGTGAGGATGGCGGAGGAACGGACCGAGATTGCATCTCGGCAGCCCATCGATGGAGGGCATGATCGATCGTCGACCATATGTACAACGTGTGCTTATCGACCAGCTTTCGCGAAAACACCGCGGAATCACGGGTCTACCTCGGTTCTCAATCCGCGTCCATTGTGCCGGACACGGAGTTAGGATGGGGGCTCAGGATGGGGGAATCAGAATAAGTTTGCCTCGAGCTCCATGAAAACTTCATTCGGACGGAGATCAACGACGCCATCAAGGAGCTAAAAATATCTCGCCGACCTCTGTGAAGCGAAGCCACACAACATGTTTACGCAAACTTTGCCTTCGGAAATAGCTGGGCCTTCAAGAGGCTACTATGAGTTCCGTGAGTGAGCTCGTGCGTCACATCGTCGGCCATGCGCCTATCGTAGACTTAATTACGAGGAAGCTTTGTCCCAATCAGTGAGGGACCACGGATCTCGAGCCCGCTCGCCGTTCGAGAAGGAGCCTGCGCGGGAGAGCAGGTTCGAGCCGGATCGGGAGAGGATCTTGTTCTAGTCTCATTTTCTGGGCTCCGATGTGCTATTCGGTGATTTCTCTCGGCGTCACGGCTCGATTTCACCCCGATACGCTCGTGTGACGACGACAAGTCCGTAGCGGACATCCTCTAGCGCATTGTGCGAATGTTACTTGCGGAACGAGCTTTCAGCGAATCGTTCTGTGAGCTCATCCACATCTCAACCGATCAGAGAATTTGTCTAACTTACTGTCGACGAGATTCTATCCGCTTTCACCGGTTTGGTTCCTTGGAGAGAGTTCTGACAGTGGGAGCACCTCGACGCTGGGTCTTTGTTGATGAGCTGGAAAACGTTCATTGAGCTTCTCGAGTCAGACGGGAAGGGACAGTTGCAGATCTTTGCGGCAAGTAGGCGCTTGAACTCGATGAAGATATCTGTGGAGAAAAAGTCTCGTTTCAATCAATGCGAAAATTAATCCGAGCGTCAGTCACAAAAGACAGAAAGTCTCTCCTCGACAGCGTGTCCATCAGCGAAATGGAAGGCTTCCAGACGGGGAAACCCCCAGCGCGTATGAAACTCCGTCCAATCATCGTTCAAGGGACGGCACCAGGAGCTTTGAAAGCCTCCTGATCGGAGAAAAATACATCAATGTATCCCTAGCCATTCCGGACTGATACGACGCTTCTGCTATCCACGGGAACTCCGACTTCCGATTGGGGCCGGAATCTGTGGACACGATTTTCGAGGATAAGTGTAACAAGGAGGTACTTCCGATAATAATCAGATGGCCCTCCCGATGAGATACCCGTGGGAAAGAGCTTGACGAATCGCTTCTAGAGCTCTTCATCAGAACGAATTGTCCGATTAAATCGAACCCAGTCGTCGAGAACCTGCGTATGGGTTCCCGACGACAGGGAAGAACAACCTTCCGGCCTTCACCCACTTCGAGGAGGACCCCGTACGTCGACCATCGCTGCAGTCTGCGAGGCACCTCCTTAACCTCAATACGTCGTCCTCGATCCATCTTCCCCGTCTCTCTGAGTGACCCAAATGATCGGACTCGCTCAGAGCCATCGTCAAAGCCTCGCGCGCGGCCTACAAATACATATATGAGGATGCCTACTTCGGCTGCACTGTCAAAACCAGAAACCCTCATCATCACATGATTCGACCGATCATCAAAACGTCAAGGACACAGACAGATAATCTCGCTTGAATTCGTAAACTTCTAATCAGCGATTCGCAGCCTCTCCCACAATGAAGTCCCAAGGTAATCGGGAGTAAGTTCCACAGCTGCATGCGAGGAATCCCGAAGGATGTCGCAGAGAGGGTGATTCCTCGCTTATCGATATGAGTCGATGAAGTCTCCGAGGGCTCCATCAAGAATATCTCTGGGATGTCTACGCGAGTACGTCGATTCGACTCGAAAGACGATGGAGAGGAACACGATGTGATCTGGTAATTCGAAGATGAACCCCCACCCTAATCCTCCTGGGATCTGACGTCCGAGAGAAAAGAGTCTCGCCCAACTCAAGAGTCCTGTAATTCAGAGAGCTAGAGAACTTTCTTTCTACTCGGAATGTTTCCGAAATGTTGAGGACCAGGTCCTTATATGTAGTTCGAAAAGCTCAAAGCTGTCTTTTCTTCTTCCCAGACAGAAAAATTTGGCTCGACGGTGGACTTTCTCCTAAGTTTGTGAGGAGTTTCCTTCTCTCGCTCCCTCGATCCTCTACCTCCTCGATCCTCGAAAAGCAGATGAGAAATTCAAGGCCGAATTTCAAGCTCCAGTCGGTATCTAGAACCCGCTTTCTTCTCGGTCTTTTGGATTCACGACGCTTCCGAAAGAGAGATATCTGATCCGATGAAACAATTGGAAACCCTGTCGCTCTATTTTCAAGCTCCACGGAACGAGGAGACTGGGTGTGCGTCCGACGAGAGAGTTTTTGAATCGATACAAATACACGATGTGTCGATGTCCCTCCCTCGGGCAATCACGGCGGATTGATGAGGTGTTGTTTTGCCGCTTCTCGCTCGCTGCTTCAAGTCACAGAATCGGTATCTCAGTCGATCTGGTGACATGAACGGCATTTCACCTCTTGACGCCTGCGTCGTGGAAGCCTCGACCGCCATCATCCCCAACTCGATGAATTTCATTTCAACAGCTCTACCCTGAGATCACATGAGAGGATCGTCCCCACAGGCGCCCGCCCAGATTTCCGCATGGCGCCAGCGGACCCGGACAGAATGACGCTCAGGACCGACAATCCTGTCGCAGTAATTTCCGTGATATTTGCAGGTGCCACCTCCTCCAACAAATGATCACTGCGTTCCCGACTTTTGCCCGGAGCTCACTGCGGCCAAAGAGGTAAGACCGGCTCGGCACATATCCCATCAGAATTCGCTCGGAACGTCCCTCCACGGGTCTGAATCTTTTCTGGACGATCTATTCATAGGATGCCGCATTCATTTGAGGCAGACAAGGCCCACAACGTGAACGGAATTTGTGTCTTGCATAACTGCATCCATAGACGGTGGGTCCACAAGCATTTCGCAACTTCGGCTTTCTGTGGAGCATAGTTCCCGGGGATTCACTTCCGGGCTCAAAAGCGATCGACAAGGGGCTTATCTTGAATCTGCTCCGGGACCACACGACGACTCTCTGGAAATGCCAGGGCAAGATCCTGAGGACGAGGGGACCATCGAATCGGGATGGAATCAGGGGACCATAATCCGCTCGACCCGCGTAAACCTTGAGCCTCATGTGAGAATCTTTATAATCTGTATGATCATAAATCATAAGTCATTCCCGAAAGTGTTCGTTCCAGTGTCTGGAAACTGTTCAGCCAGGGGCGAAAATTCACCGGGGCAGAGGGCGGAGCGATCGGTCCAGCATTGGAATTCCGTACGCGGAAAGGATGGTTTGATTCTACATACAAATTTTGACTTTCTTGACGCGACGCGGGAAAGAATTTTATCATCTCGTCAGCACGCCGGGCCTTCCTCCTCTCTCGGCGATTCCCTCGCATTGAGAGGACACTGAACTTGCCATCACGATCGAGTTCTCAGCGCAGCGTCGCGGCGGAGGAAGCAAGATAAAGGAGCAAAGTCAACTGAACCTTCGATTGAGGACCTTGACCGCGTCATGTGTTGACCCAGTCAGCCGGTTAGTTTGTCTCCTCGCAATGCGGCTCAGCGTCGAGGTGAAATTTAGATAAAGACAGGCAGACAAATTGGCGCGTTCGCGCCACGGAAATTCTGTACAACTTCATTGCTTCAGCGAGCGAAGCACACCGGAGGCGAGGTCCTGCGCTGTCTGCTCGACTTCTTATACATCAGAGCTGACGCTGGCCCTGCCGTTCGTGTGCATACATATAGCGTGTTTCGACTCTCGTCCCGATGTAGCAAGCTGATTTGTTTCAATCGACTTACAGATGGGAATTTCCGATAGGGTCCGAGTCCGAGCCCATCAAATATGGACCATATGGAGATTCCCTACAGGCATCAGACTGCCATTATGTCCGCGCGTATCCGGTATCCGCTTGGTGAAGATGAGGGTCTGGATTTCTCGACAAGGAGGAGATGTCCGTCGATCTTTTCGGACTTTAATTTCCAGTTTGATCCTTTGGGAAACGCTGCGGAAGGTCCGCCTCCCCTCATTCCCTCCCGAAAATGCCAGATACTTCAAGATACTTTCGTATGCTCATTTTTTCACACCAACAGTCAGGTCGAAAACCCCGTACAGCTAGAAACACAGAAAAGTTCTGCAATCCGATAGCGGACGCGGGACCTATCTCGTGCGAAGATAGGTAGATGGAGAGCAGTCCGGTCAGAGACTCATACTCGCGAGCTCCGTCGGCCGACTTGGTAGTATAAGGCCAGCTTGGCCCCGCTCGGCTTCCGATGAGAACCTGGCGGTGGGGAATCGCGATAAAAAAAAGATCCGAATAAGAGTCTTCCCCCGGTGTAGCTTCGGAGTAAGCATTCCGTCGCCAAAACGATGATACGTCTCTACAGTCACCGATCAGGGTTCAGCCCATTCCGCGTGTCCACAACGAGCCTCCTAATTCAACCGGTGGCCTGTTCGCCACAGAAAAGCTTCCTACGTCACGCACGTGCAGGATGGGTCACGGGAGTCGCCCGAACGTGCTGTGCGCAGGAGCTCAGTGAGAGGCTAGCAAACAGACTGATGTCAGATGGTCGTACCTCCTTTTCCCGATATAAAACAAGGGAATACGGCTTAGGCCAATCCGAGAGCCTCGATGACTTTTTGCGGTCGTTTAGGGAGCGTTCACTACGTGTATAATCTCCGTGGTATAGGATCGCATGCTTTTCCCAGCTGGTTCCGGTGAATGATCGTTGGCATGTCGTCTGCTTTTCCCATGCGGACTGCTTTCCGAGTTCCGGTCACATCGTGACACTGACGGAGCTCCTAGAACAAGTCCTTGCGGAGGATATTCCCGCGTCAGAAGTTCCTGAACAGTTGATCAACTGGAACGTCTGACTCCACTCAAAAATGCCGCGAGCATGCATCAATCAATCGCGAATGGAACTGAGCGGCTATTCGAACTAGCGATGCGGAGTAAATGAAGATCATCCTGTTTCGAATACCGATGTAAGGAGCGTCTGAGCTCGCTCGGACGTACATAATGACCACGATCGACTCACGAGACACTCAGGGGAGAAATTGGGTCAGTCAAGACCATTGACCCAAGCTACGCCGTTTTCGCTCGCTTTCTCTTGCGAGAAAGTAAAGAAGGAAGAATCTAATTGCGGGGAGGAGGCGAGCCGAAAAATGCCGACGAGGGAATGATTCCGGGTTTGTGAAAAAAAATGCGTCAGGAATGCAAACTTGACAGGGATATTGAGCTCACCAGATTCCACGCAGCTCAAGAACCGGAGGGGTCAGCGTCGATCCACGTCGGCGCTCAATCGGAGCTCCGCGATCGTACAGTTCATATATCCGTATTTTTTTTTCGGGATCCGCGATATGGACGCATCATTGCTCCGCAAGCTTCAAAACATTTCTTTGGAATCGGGAATTCGCATCCTCAAGGGCCTTCAATCAGCCCCCCGCAGTGAGCCTACAGAATGAGCGATAGTGTGGTCGGCGCTGATTTTCGTCAACATTCTGAGGGATTGCAATCCATAGAATAGGCACAGGCTCCGGGTTGATGCTCCCGGAGGAGAGGGCCCGCCGGCCTCCGGACGAAGTCTCGAACGCAGTTTTCAGAGTTCCGTGACGTCGCGAGCCTCGCGGTGCTCCACAGCGAAATCACAGGATTGCTCCAGAGTTCTCAGATCGATGTTCTCCGCGCTCACGGCGAATCCATCGCAACAGCCAATCGGGTGACAGTCTGCTTGCGTGCTTACTCAGTCGTCGCTCGGCGGCCTTCCGATCCGCCTGTGGAGGTAAGGTGATATTTTGCCTTATTTTTCTCGTTCTGCTCTCGGACGGTCTTACGATGACGTGCGAAGCGGACGGGAAAAACACAATGGTCGTCTTCCGCCACTGCTTTCTGAATGGCACGTGAGATCAAAAAGCGACTGCTCAGGAGCGACAAACAAAGCCCGCTCCTCTGGCCCCAGAAATCCAAGCTTTGGTAAGCAAATGGACTCCCGTAAACTCTGCGGTGGACGACTTCAGCGGAATGAGCGGAATAAGCGGAATCATCGAAGATTGGATAACGCCGAGTCGGCCTCGGAACATCTTGCCTCGAGCATCTTCGGAAAGATTCCGCGGCTAGATATAAAATCATTCGAAGATCATCCCGCCTATTCGGATACTAGGTAGTGAAAAAATGTTTCCCTGTGTCACGGAGCGCTCAAGCATCCAGTATCGGAGTCATTCCGCCTCCAAGGGGACCGAGCGAGCAGAAGACTCCATCGTGCAACGAGATTCCCCAGCAGATCGAGATTTCCCAGCAGATCGAGATTTCCCAGTCAAGAAGGTCGCTCCCGGACTGCATCAGGGAATGCTCTCCGGGAAAGCAGCGAAAGACAATGCTGCTTCCCTTTATTAGAGCTCGGCGAGAGCTCGCACCTGGCCATGTCCCACCGAACGTCATGAGTGTGCGAAGCTCCTTTAGCGTATTATTCATTTGTGGTCTTTTCTCGCGGGAAAACTCAATCAGAGAAATCAAAGCATCGGATTACATTGAGTCATCGCATTGCGGACCTCTCTCGAAGGTCATCCGAGCTCAACAAACGATAGTTCTGGCTGATGTTCTGCTGGAGATATTAACTTATTCTCCATTATCGAGCAAGGCGCAAGTGTACCACAGAAAACGACTCGGGAGCAATATTGAAATTAGCCATTCGCGGAGCATTCTGCAGAAGATCGTCTGAGTGAATGCCTTCCAAGAGGCTGCGGAAAAGTCCAGATGGACGATATTAACGCTCAGCTGGGCCTTCCTATACCAAGGGTGGCCAACCTCCTTGGTTCCGCGGACCACTGAGGTTCTTGCGACGAAACCTGCGGACCACCGAGCCATAGTTCATATGTGTTTGGATCAGAAAGTGAGAACGAGCTCAACGAGAATGCCGCCTCTAATCCACTGAGCCTTACAGCACCTGCGGGCGCCTAATCACTGAGCACTGGGCAGCGGAGTTTTCGTTGCGAGAGTCAAGGACTGCGACTGGATATCATTGAGTCCGCTTTTGGAAACCGCCTAGGTTGCTCCGCGGACCACCGAAATTTCAGCCGAGGACCACCACCGGTCCGCGGACCCCCTCTTGGCCATCCCTGTACGAGCTGATGAACTCTATGCCGATCTGTTTCCAGGATTCGGGACAGCTGCCGTCGCTGGTATGCTCTCTCGCGATCCGGATAGCTAGCCCGCCACGCGTGTTGGGGAAGCTTTTCGCTCTTCGAATGAACCCCGAATCCGTGATTGAGCTGGGGGTCAGACCGCGGGGGCAAACGGCGGCGAGTTCCGACCCGGGACGTGAAGATCGGGCACCCGAGATCGCGAGAGCGGGCGCGAAATCTTTCCGAACAGGTATGTTGAGACGATTCCGTCCCACGAGGGAATGGATTCGTGGACACGATGAGCATTGCATTGTATATGATCACTGATCGCTAAAAATCGATTTAAGCTCAGGGAATTGAACCTCGTCGTGCGTCTACATCGAATCCAAGCGAAGAGTCCAATGAAGCTCAACGAATTAGCCAACGGCGGATCAGCGAATTCAAATGAGACCTTGGATTCTGTCGTCGACGATGAACTTTCGATTCGACTCATGATGCACACTCGCCATATTTATGTTTGCAGAAAGTTTTCGTGGTATGATCCGATTTAGCATCCGTTAAAGTCGAACTCCGATGATTATTTCGCTTGTGGATGTTTGTTTTCGTAAGGCGGAGCGAGGGATTGCTCTACTTCTCAAAACGCGGGAATAAACCGCAGACTGCCACGACTTGAGCTCAGATATTCACGAATTGCAACTTCTTGAGAGTTGATGTTTCTCGGTCTTGAAGTCGAATTCGTACATTCTAGCAAAGCTCAGACGGGGTGAGTGGGGATAAAGCTGGAGGAGCTTCTTTTCTCTCATTGCCTACCCCTGGTCTTGAAAATCATCTTCGAGGTGCCGACCGTTCGAACAGCACAAGAATCTCTCGTCGCGAGTTTGTTATCAGAACTATTCCGTGGTAAGAACTTCCTCGACTTTTTTTCTTTCTCTTTCTTTACGGAAAAGTTATACAGGGACCCTGATCTGCATTCCTCGCGCCACGGAAGCCTACGGACATCCTAATTCAGATGGGGGTAGGACGGGGGCGAAGCGATCTCTTCATCGATTCAGAAACGCCTACAATGACGCGAGTTTGTTTGTTGAGCACGAATTTCCGAAACGAGGATAGTCCGAAACGAAATTCACTAAAAAGATGATAGTCGAGGAAGCATCCAGTCAGAAGGCTTCAGCCTCGTCGATACGAGTCAGCTGATAAGCCAGCATCGTCTCAGGTCACATGCAGTCTCTCTGCGGGTATTCTCGGTATTGCTCCGTACTGCTAAAAGATCCTAGCCCACTGATGCATCGAAACATCTGGGAATTTTGGCGCAAAAGAGCTTTCTTTCACGAGGACACCTGGCGCGAAAAACCTTCCTTGCAGACTCGATAGGGTACGACCCGTCAGATCTTAGAAACCTTTTTCTAGCAAATCTCGGGAAATGTGAGCAGAAACTCTCCTCGTTCCCAGTTGCAGAGAGACTCTCTGCAGACTTTGCATGGGATTTTGCCACGGGGGCGCGACTCCTGCATTGAAGAAAACTTACCGCGGTCTCCGTCGTTCGAAATATCGAGCCCATGCTCCCGGAGCACGACGAAAGCCGGCTTGCCTCGAACAAGAACTTTCCAGCTGTTTTCCGGGACTCCCATTGCAAAGCACTTCCGAGTATGGGGGTCCAACTAGATGCTCATGGTTTGCAGTATTGCAAATTTGCAAGGATTCCGGTATTTCGACAGAAGTTCACCAGCAGTTTATGGCGGCTCGGCTCCTCCTGCATCCGCTCTTGAGAACAACTGACACTGAAACCTACTCCGGGCTGGGAAAGAAGCTTTCTCTCGGTCCTCTCCCAGCAACGCGGGCTGAACAACAAACAGCACGAGCTTCCGAGGCCAGTAGCTCCATCTGTGGACGCCGACGTAATTAATTCCGCGCCAGCCGACACACTACCGAGCCCGCGGCTCGAAGCGCAAGCCCATCACGGGCCAGATGAAATAATCGCGTCAAAGAAATCCGGGAGCAGGCTAAGGATATTCCGAAGTTTTCTCAAGAAACTAGCGGTACTCGTGTGCAAAGCCTACAGCGGGTACGGCAGGCGCAAATGAGACCTAGGAAGATAGCCCTCCGTAAGCGCGTAGAGAGCATGGGAGTGGAGGCAGAAAAATTGCCGATTCTCGCATACAATAAGGTGAATAAGCAAGCAAATTCTGAAAATCCTCCGGATTTCGCAATCTTCAGGCAGGGATCATCATCAGCGTTTCCGTCAGGCGGACACACGACCACTCACCTGCAAACATTCGCCTCGCTCGCGAACACTCGTCCGAGGCATGATAGAGACCCCATCATTTTCAAGATTCGCAGATCTCCAACGATTCTCCGCATGAGACATCTCTTCGCACCGCCGCCCCAGACCGCGGTTGACCTCTGAGTCTCTGAGAAGGGGTGGCACTTTCTCTGATTGGAGACGACTCTCGATCGGCCTCTCAGGAGGCGACAGCGTCTGCTCTGTCTATCGCGCTGCGCGGCAGCTGTCTTTTGGGTGTCTGGACGAGGAGGCTCAACTTCTCCGCTAGTCCGGAACACTTCCATTGCTTCGCGCACAGCCGCAGAACAGTGTGGGGTTAGAAATTCTCAAGCTTCAACACTCTCCGGAATAATCGCAGCGGATAAAGTCGTCCTCGGAGCTCGAAGGTACCGATGTCGCTTCCGTACGTTGGATACATAGCGAAACAGGAGCCGCAATACCAACACTGGAAGCTGCAAGAGAAGGCGGATCGCCGACCAGAGGAGAAAGTTTCCTTGCTTCCCTCGCAAGGCTGTCCGAGAGGCTCGCGGATCATTACGTTCCTCATAGTTCGAAGTTTGATCGAAGTTTTTCCGATGCGACCGTTGTCCATTTTGCGGATATGTTCTCCCTCCAAAACTCCGTCCAGGATTCCTCGCATCCCTCTCGCCGAGAGAAACTATTGAAGTCCTCACGTTCTCATGCCGAGCTTGGACTTTCCGATTCCATTGGGATGCTCGAACGCTCATGTAGAGATGAACTGTGTTTCCGACGTCAACCAGATGAGCCTCGATTCGCGTTCTTCAAAGGGAATCGGCTTCGGTCCTCTGCGAATCCCTGTGCGCCGCGCCGCGTTGCCAAATCCGTCCCGCGAGATTCACATGATCTGCAATCCACGTTGCAAGCCAACTCCAAATCGTTGGGGAGACAGAGCCAATGGACAATTAAATAGAGCGCTCAAAAACTGACCGCTAGTCCTTGGGCATTCACACGTCGCATCGGAAAGTCCGTTCGGATCTATTCCGCGCAAATTAGCTCCGAATTCCATCAAATTCGAAGGGTCACTGGATTCTGCCGAGAATGACTCAAGTCTCAGCGCTTCTGAATAAAAAATAAGGCCCACGCAGCAGTCTAGAAGAGGACTATCGATTCCCTGTCATCTGAATCAGAATCGCGCCATCGGAGTTCAGGCCGGGAATCGAACCCGGTCCCAAGTTGCACAGGTCCGAGGCTGCGCTCGCCTGCTCCAGCTGTGCGACGACGTTTTCCTTCTTACACCACCGGAGTTCACAGGTCACAATTCGAATCAGGATCAGACTATACCGGCAAGTAGGTCATCTGATGACTGTTGGAACTATTGACGTTCTCTAATACAGACGTCCTCAATCTCGTGATACATTCACCCTTATTGTTGACGGGAATAGGTTCCTTATTCTGATTGGATGGTTATCTCTGTACGCAACAAGCGATGACCGACAAGCTCCCGAGTCGGCCATTGTAATCATCGCGAACTATTTTTCGGAGTGGCGTCTCCTTCAATCGTCGGTGCAGTTCACGGCCGACTTAGGCACGCTAGGGATGGTACGATTCCGGAAGCACGTTGGGCGAAAGCGCCCCCACCCCCTCCCTGACAGTACTAATTATCGATGCTCACGATGGATTCGGCCGGAATATGATTGAGGCTCTACATATCCAGGGCTTCGCTCACAGCCACGGACCGAACTGCGTGAACCATCGTCCGAGGCGGTCATTCATGGGGATCGGAAGCGTTGCGGAATCGATCAAGGAGCGTTCGACCGCTGAGTCGCGTGCGAGGGGCTGGCGAACTCGGATCATCAACAGTCGCAGTAGGAACGGATTGGACTTCAGCCTATAAAACTCGCTCATTCAATCAAGATCTGACAGGGAAGGCCATAGAGTCGGTCCGATAGCACAGGTCGTGCGCTCTTTGGGTGCCCGGAAGGGATGCTTCTTGGTCTCGTAACTCAGGTGGACTTGATGCGCGTTGGAATGCATGAGGTTCTATGGCCGGAAAACGGTGCCAGGGTGACGTCGTCCGACAAGTCAGGCAGACTTTTTATAAAGGTTGTCTTCACCTCAGGTTTCGATGTATCGACAAATGTATGCTTGAAATATCTCTTATGATTTTTTCGACATCATTTGTATTAGAGACATGGACAAGGTACACGGAGCTTCCTTCCCTGGGTGAGCTCGAGGAATGGAGGAGGGATGGTTTGTGTACGTTTTCCCGTGACCGAAGGGCTGAGAAGTTCAGGACGCAGGAGCGTTCTTCACAGCAGCGGGATGACTATTTTCCGTCACTACACTTCATACCAGGCTCGAGTCGTCGTAGTGTCCGTACTGAATTACGCTGCAGAAACCGACCAATTGACTCGACCGTCATATTTACATTCGATGTCCATGTAACTTGGACCGTGTTCGCTCAGAGAACGACCTAGGGACCTGTTACGCGCTTTCAGCTCTCGGTTCTCTACTTGGAGGGGCAGTAGGCGCCTTTGCAAATGAACAAGCTATCACGGAGAGTAGATTCTCAATGTCGTTCTCGAATTGTTCCCTCGCTTCTCCAAATCGAGATACACATTCGACGATCGATTGAGGGAGAGCTAGAAGACCTCGGTTGAACGCGGGTCTGGATAACGCTCTTCGGAGTCCTTGTTATGGACAGCTGTCATTCGAAAGTGATCGAAGGTATCCGCGAAATCGTCACTGTCGCAGTTTACGCTCGAATCCGGTGCGCCAGACTGAATGGGAGGTGTTTCGAAGGTCTCAAATACCCCAACACAAGATTCGGAGTGATCATCGATAATGAATTGCGCGGAGTTTGCCGGGCCTGAGGCGCGTTCCAAGGCTGGATTCTCACGCAACATTTCTATCTTGGATTGGGTCTCCCTGCTCTTGCGGGGAGTTATTGTGACGCTGGGTGATCTAGCTGGTAATGACTCTTGCGTTTCTTTCCGCTTCGAGCTCGTCGTCGAGGATGAGTATCGGCTGCCGGCCTACTGCTTGCGACAAAAGCAGCAGAGAACTCTCGGGAGACTCCTCGGACTTCCTGTGACTATTTTTGTGCGCTGCGGTCAACCTCGACTCGGATAGGCCGAAGAGCCGCCCGCATCTTTTGCGGCGAATTTGGAATTTAAGGTGCAGTGCTGTCTGTCTACTCATAGTCACGTGAAGGCGAGCAGCTCCCGACGGAGAGTCGTCCTCTCACAAAAAGCCTCCACGCTCGAGAACGATCCTACCGTTATACGCCCGTCACGAATTGTCGTATTCCGACCAGTAGCAAGCGAAAGTCATCGTTTACCCGATCTCGCTCTGGTCGACGTCAATGATATCTGGGGTTCGACTGAACAAGCGATGTACTGCGAGTTGACGGTGGGGCTTGATACCGATCAGGCGGGCTATGTGATCAGTCCTACTTTTGTCGCCTCGCGATTCCTGGGACCCGCAGAGAATGAAAGGGGGGGTCAGAACAAAGTCACTGGGCGGGAAACGGGAAGCTATGCAAAATGACTTCGTTGCTTCCCAGCACCTTTGTCCGAACTGGCCGGCAGCGATCACAGATGTCGTCTGTTGGAGCTCACCCCTTTAGAGAACATACACAGGATGAGGAGAAGAAGTCGGTGTCGAGAGAAAGTGTCCTTCCCTAAACGGGAGAGAACTCACCGCGATAATCTCCTGGTCAACAGGAGCTGCGGAGGAAGTTCAGCTTTATCGGACTCCTAGGCGGCCGAATCACTGACTGTTCATGAAAAGGTTGTCGCAGAGAGCTCCAAGCTAGGAATTGGAAGTATTTCAGCTAGAAATTTGGAGGACTCTTCGACAATGCTCGGATACGGAAACAACGCTGCGACGGCGCGGTGTGGAAGTTCCGGCACAGTTGCTCTCAGTCAGATCACCACGATGGGCGCGTTCAGGCGAAAGGTCGAAGTCGTTACGTTGTCGTCCGTTCTACGACTATTTATCATTCATTTCACTCGATCTGTGGCTCACATCTGTCTTGCTCGATGCTTCAATTTCACTCGACTTCCGATATTCTCGCAGTTGATCGAGCAAAGAAAATTCGAACACGCTCAGAAAACTAATAACCTCATTCGGGTCAGCGATTGAGGGTCTGTCAACGGTGCGGCACGAAATGTCAGCATCGAGAAATTCACTCGCCTGTCGCACTGAGTCTTTCTTACACGAGGCGGGACGTCATCTCGAGCTGACCGATCGCGGAACAGAGCTAACTTCCCCTCGTGAGGAGCGGGTGGTTCACGGAGCAGACGACGTCTCCCGATTTCCGGGAGCCGATCCCGTCCCCAGGAGAACTCTCACTGCAAACAGCTCTCTAGCTATTCGAAATCAAGATAGTCCCAATGGTCACCTACGGTATTCAACTGGTTTGGGGGAACTTGAAGACATCACACCTCGAAGCGTAGGATAAACTGAAAGCGTACTACCTAAAGCTGGCGCTAGGTCTCCATCGGACTGCCAGAAACAGGCTCGTATACTGGATCGCTGACACGAATTCGCACGCCAAGGACATCGAGAAGAAATTTAATCCGCCAAGCACCCAGGCCTACAAAGAGCATTTAGAGCTGTCTCTCGAAAAGAGAACCGACATCGACGCGGAACTACTTTCAACACCCGCCCTGACTAAGGAATTCTGGGAAGGTCCGAGCCGGAGAATTAGGAGCCGAATCACTAGAGGGTTTTCATGCATGGTTTTCACGCCATGATTTGTTGTAAAGAAAACTGTCATGTATTAAGTAGTGACTGCAAGTGCCAATTATGCTCGGCAGATTGTGAACAATATCATATATCCTCTTGTAAAAACGCTCATCAGTTCGATTGGAGCCTCACAGCAAACGCAACAAGTGGGAACTCGAGGATAAAAATGCGTACATTCTAACGTTCTAACAATTACACCAGACTCTGGTAATTAAAGTTCAAAATGATGATGATTTCCGGGAGCCTTTCCCCGGATGTCTACATTGAGATCTTCTAGCCTGGCACTGATGGTCGGAAGATTCACCGGCAACATCAACCTCGCACAACTCGGATCTGGTGCCTATCGCTTACGGAAGCGGCAAGCGCAATAGCGGCAGTCATTCATGGCCACATACGGAGCGCCTGGAAACCACTAGATTTTCATCGGAGCGCAATGATCGATCGGATCCGTCGGAGCTCAAGAAAAGCTCTCGCTGTCGTTGCTCTTCATGATTCTGTAAGCGGCGTCGTATCTCTCCTTAATCGAGCTGGGTTGTCCTTGTGAGGAACTTCGGGAAAAAAATAATCGGATCGGTCCCGGGGTCTATCCAGCTGTCTACCAGACTGGCTCCTGTAGGCTCTAGTGTTCATAGATCTTTAAATATACCGCCATCGTGTAGAACCCACGCAGAGCCGTTTCTCGTCTCTGTGTTTCGAGGAGATCAATAAATGACAGGCAGTTCCGTTAAGACGGTCTCAGAGTGTGTTCCGTTTGGTAATTCATCCTTCAGTCAGAACATCCAAAACATGGCGCAGTCTGAACAGGAGATGCAAACAAGAGGCCGAGGAGTTCGGCCAACTGCTATGAATGTGCTGAGTGGCGAAGACAACTACGAAAGGTGGCAGACTTTCCGGGAAGCATACAATGACTACGCACGATGGGAGGGAGTGTTTGCCATGGAACCGGAATTGCAACTATCGAACTTCCGTCAGTGCTTCGGTGAAGCCAATCGGGCCCTCCTGAGACATCTCGGACTCGAGGCCATGGTGAGCGGTGACAGAGCAAACCCCCAACGGCAAGGAGCCGTGCACAACCGTGAAGAATTTCGTCGCCGCGCTGGAAACAAGATTTGGGAAAAAGGACAACCTTCTCTATAAACGGTACCTATTCCACAAAGCCGTGCAGAAGGATACAGAGAAGATATCGGACTTCGCGGATAGGCTCAGAGGACTAGCCAGGAACTGTAGATACAATGATCTACGGGAAGAAATGGTGAGAGATCGATTAGTGATCGGTACACGGATCCAGAAAGCCAGAGAGGCGATTTCAAAGAAAACAACGACTTGACGCTTGAGAACGCGCTAGACTTGATGAGAAGACATGAGGATAACGAAGGAGCCTTGGCAGACATCAAAGACAATCGGGAAAGCGTGATGTCTGGAAGCCAAGAGATCAACGCAGTGTCATTCCGAAACTCTAAGAAAAGACCGTTCAGGAGAACCAATACGGGCAGGACGAATGCTTGCTCGTTTTGTGGCAGTAGGCACCAGCCGCGGAAGTGTCCTGCGTACGGATACCGCTGCGGGAAATGTGGAAAAAACAACCATTTCGATGCGTGCTGTCTAACAGGCGAGCAAACCCGTGTTGTCGAGACTTTGGAAGAAGGAGACGATTGGTGTGAAGACATGTTCATGGCCGGGACAACAGATCGTGTCAAGCGAAAATTCTTCACAAAGCTGCAGCTCGAAGACAAGACGTATCTGAGAGGCCAAATCGACACGGGAGCGACTTGCAACGCAATGAGTTGGAAAGATTACTCAGATCTAAAGAAAAAGGGAATCGTCAGCCATATAGACAAAAAGAGACGCAAACCATTGAAAATGTATGACAATCACGTCACAATGTCCTTGGGAGTGTGCAGATTACCATGCTCTGTGAATGGGCGAAGTTTTTCGCTACCGTTCCAGGTGATGAATCACGGAGTCGAAATTCTCATTTCGGGCTACCATGCCAAGAAAATGGGCTTAATACAGTTCGATCAATCAGTCGAAGCTGTTTATCAGATCCGGGAAAAGGACTCAACGTCGTCGGGAGGTGGGAAAGCTCTGCTGGACACTTATGCCGACATATTCGAAGGTCTTGGAGAATTCGGCGACCCGGTGAAGCTT